AGGAGAGTTCTCCCGCGAGCAAATTGGCGGCAAGCCTTGCGCCGAGAACTTACAGTTTACGGTTGAATGACCGCGAGTCTGGTGGAAGTCGCAAAAGGCATTCTCGTCTTAACTCAAATTCCTGGTCCATGTGTTCCCCGTAGTTCGCCCTTGCTTCGATCCAGAGTTGATGGCGTAATTATGCGCCCCTTGGAGATCCTGCCCCTCGTGATGGATGTACTTGTCGTTACGAGGGTTTTTCTTCTTCGGGTTTTTCTCGGACACGACGTCTCTCCCGGATGTCTTTGTCGGTTTATGCTGTTCCAACAGGATTATTGTCTCCTCTTTGATAGTGATGTAATCGGTCGATTTGTGGAGCGCGTCCTGGATCGTACGCGGCTTCTCGAGAGTTATCCACTTTCTGAATCTTAACTTGAACCAAAGTAACATTCTTAGCGCGTCAATGGCTGCTCTGTCGCTTATTCCGGTAACCCAAGCCATGATGAGTTTGAACTTACTCATGAAGTCGCAGAGGGGTTCGTCTTCCTTATGGGATAAACTCCAAAGGCCGGCGTCGGAATTTTCGCTGTTTATAAACATCTAGTACTGCTTGAGAAACTCCGAGGCAAGCTGGTGGAAACTCCCGATCGAATTCTGCTTAAGTCGAGAGAACCACTCAAGCGCTGCCCCTTCTAGGTTTTGGACAAAGAGACGTCAATAGCCCGAGTTTCTTTCGCTTTCCTTAAGCTTAGCCAGCCCCATGGTGATCAGGAAGGCCTGCAGGTGCGCTTTGGGATAAGTCGTCCCATCATAAATCGACACTTTAAGCTTTCTGGGATTTGGCAGCTTGGTTTCGGTGACGCGAGTTGTAAAGGGTGTTTTCCGAGACTCGTACAACAATCGATCTATTTTGGACGCAGTGCTGGTGGCATGGTGAATTCGAGACTTTACTACCTTTACCGCTGCGGCCGTTTTTGTGATGTAGTCACGGAGATTGCGAATCTCAGTTGGCTCGCCAGCAGTTTTCCGACCCCATCGGTGTTTGCTGCGAGTTACCTGAGATCATTCCTCGGCCATCTTTGCATGCTCCATGCAATAGAGCTCCTCCTCGTCCTTGGTGTGAGAGTGTTCGGGAGAAGATTGGGGCTGAGGGCTGCGATATTTCCTCCTTCTTGGATGAACGTCAGCGTCTTCCTCCGACGGATCGGATTGGTAGCTTATGTCCAGATTAACCCTTTCGACACCGTCGTCTTCGGCATCCCGTTCGCGAGAAGGATATTTTTCTGATTCCTTTTGTGTCGCGTCAGGTTATATTTTTCGGAGGTTTGCTCCGGTAGATTACCCTACTCGGTTCTTGGGACGATCCATAGGAATCATGAAAGCGAGTCTTCTTCCGCGGATCCTTGCGTTCCGCGGGGGCGGATAGCCTTGGTCTTTGCGGTTAGGGTTTCGACCTGTTTCGCGAGAGATCTGATTAGCTTGTCCTGCTCGTCCATCCTCTTTTGATAGGCGGAGAGCACCTCCTGCAGAAACGTAGTGTTGGCATCAGCGTTAGCTGTGGTTGCGTTTGCTGGTGGAGCTGGAGTTTCAACGTTTTCGTTGACGTGAGACGGTTGTTCTTCTGTCATCGTATTTGATCGAGCGTAATGCGGTCTGAGAGTTAGATAGATCCGTAACCCCCCTCCTTCTAGCGCCAAACTGTGGGAAACAAAATTCGCACTGTCGATTTCCCGTTGAATTAAGAAACTTAGGGAAAACCCTAATTTCCCAGAGGTCCTGGATATCTGCTAAACCACACGCCAAGCAATCAAAATACAAAAATAATAGGAAAGACAATATGAAAATCGAAATAGAGAGAAAATAGATGTCTTGTTCCGAATTAGCGTAAGATCGGTACAACGAGGAAAAGCCTTGGCCACAAAAGCTGACGGCTAGTTCCCTAGTTCTAGTAACCTAAGACTAAAACCTTAGTTGAGACGCAGCTCGATAACAAAATGGGAAGTTGCCAACTTGTGATGAAACCTCTGAAAAATCGTCCTCCTCTTCTTGGCTTCGACCTTGTGCTTATATACTCCTCTTCTAGGCCGTTTAGTCTTTCCTTTTCCGCCTCGATTTGTGTTTTTCAGAAATTTTCCATTTATCTCGATTCTCCATTTTTATCCTTGGAAAACTTCTATTTTTCTCTAAACTTGACATTTATCTTCTTCCTGCACATAAACGACCAAACCGTCATTGTATCTTTGGGTTAGACTCCTTCTAAAGTCGCAAGTGGGCCTACCTTTCTGGCCAGTTTTCGCCTTAACTGTTTCACAATTTAGACAGGTTTGTTCCATGATACAATGCCGTTTTTATAAAACATCTCGAATTAATCGAATAGTTTGGTAATGTCTGGTGTTCTGTTTAACCGTTGCCGTTTTATACGATTTACTCGAGTGTTTACGAGAAAACAAGGCTTCAACGGTTTTTATCGTAAAATACCATCAATAAGACAGATCGAGACGAAACACGAGATGTTCTGATCAGAGTACGATCGAGTCGAGAGACATATGCCTCGTGTCTGGGCAATGCGGACGGTGAGGTTCAGCTTGGTCAGCTCACGGTCGGGCGACCTGAATGGTGTGGTCCAGCTCGCCGGTCGGGCTACCTGGATGGTGTGATCCATCTCGCCAAGACGGCGAGCTGGTTCGCGACGGTCAGTTTGCCGGCTTGGCGAGCTGGACGAGACGGTTCAGCTCGCCAAGCCGGCAAGCCTAGTTTGGGACGGTCCAGCTCGCCAAAACGGTGAGCTGGTTTGGCACAGCCAGCTCGCCAAGACAGCGAGCTGGTTTGGCTCGGCCAGCTCGCCGGCTTGGCGTGCTGGATGGTCACGGACAGCCTTGCCGTTTTGGAGAGTTGGACGTTACGGTTGATCTTGCTAAGTTTGTTAGTCGGACAACCGTGAGTTGTTTTATTCGATTTTCCGGTGATTTCTATGATGACGATTGTTAAGATTACGGAGTTCCATTGTTTGGAAAATCTTTGGAATTCTCCTCGACACTTTTTCATATCTTTATAAATCTATTTTGTACTTTGCGGGGAGTTTTGGTTGTTGATTCCGTCGTAACCGATTTTGACCCCGTTAATGATCATGCCAGAGACACATACCAAAACAACGTTTCTTAGTGTGAGTAGCTTGGTTTGTGTCTGTATTGATTAAAATGTGATAGTTGATAGTTTCCTCATCCTTTATTATCTCTTTTAGCCACTCCTTCATCCCCATATTTGCAGGTTCGAGGCTCATCTCACCGTTTCAATCTTGTACAGTTCAAACTTCAGATTCCTTCTTGGGTAATTGTTAACAAACCATCATGTTCCAATACTTCCTTTTCCACTACCCACATCGATAAATACTTTCGTTTAGTAGCTCTCAATGTTCAAAATAACCATCGGATTTCAAAAGTGTTACCATTTAGGGATTATCGTCTCTCTCTCTCTCTCTTGAGCTCTCAGCTGCGAACTGCTTCTCTTCTCTGACCAGTTAAAAGTGTTACAGTTTGATTCATCATCTCTTTCACTATCATCCCCCACCCCCAAGAGGTTCTTGTACCAATGGATCTATACAGTGAAATAAAATGCCTTGAATGATCTCTTCTCCTACAGATGTACATTGATGCATCTACTATATTCGCCATCTCCACAATAGCATGCTAAGAAGAAAGATCTATTCAGTCCAAGCAAGTAATCTGTTGAGAAGTTATCAGACATTATCTATATATATAAATATCACTATTATCAGAAATTGAAAAACAGACTAACTTTGAATCGAGCAAGAGCTTATCAACATACATGAGTTCATCACCACCCTAATATTCCTCGCCTCCCAAAAACGCAACAACCTAATCTCAATTGTGGAAGATTATTTACCCGATTTCAAATCAGAAAGAAAAACCTGAGAGCTAACCATTTTTTAGTAAATAAATGGATTTCGTTGTTTCAATAGATTGATAGAATGATTTAGAGAGTAAGGAGGCTAAACCTCTTTTATACCCGAAGTTCGACTACTTTTGAAGAGAAAAGTTCGCATTAAATGTATATCGTGGATGATGGATTTAAGGAGGACTCTAAGAAGATGAATGTGTAATTGTAGATTTCTGGGTCAGAAGAAGAAGATGAAACAACTCGATCGAAACCCTAGAATATGAACCGATATCACGACGGTAGAGAAGGATAACGGTTCAACTCATACGATAGAAAACGACGCGTTTTGAGCATGTCGACTTACTGTTTATCAAGATGGAGTTTACAAAATTTAACGCATAAACCGCGTAGAATCAAAAGTTCCAACGAATTTAAAACCTAACTAAATAAAACGCAGCCATGTATCATGCTATGGGTATTCGAATTGATGACATGGTGCTATGAGAAGAGAGACAAAGTGTTCTTTATATAATAGATATATAAATGCATATATACATTTACATCATTTAACTTCAAGACAAGATAATCCATAGACAACACGTAAAACATCGTTGGTTAAGAAGTTAGGATATCACTTAGATTTCTCCAAATCGATGTTATGTATCTCTTTTCGAGCTCCATTGTAAAAAAAATCTTGTTGTACATTTTAGGTTCATGTAATATACAATGTGCGATATTAGTCCAAAAAAAGATCAATGAATTAGAAACTTATAGAAGTTTTAGGAGAGGTGTCTAGGCCGAAGCCCGACTAATCATATTCATGTGGGCTGGTCCCACGGTGATAAACAAACCCGATTGCTCTACTTTGGAGTTATATATCCATGTTACCTGACCGCTAGCCTAGACCAAACTCCTTATCTCGTGAAACCACTAGACTACCAATGTACTTTACTCATCATTCATATGTAATTACAGCTACAATGCTCGATGTAATGAACTAATAATAATAAGTTACATGGGAGGGAGACTGTTATTTATCTCTCAACTTAAATAGAAAAACATGTGACGAAGGCAAATATATGAAGCTGATAAGTTGTAAAACCCCAATAATAGTTGTTATATCTGATTACTATTTGGTTTAAATCTTAAATAACAATATTATTCAAAACGACGCCAATGTTTGAAAATAATTAAAAGGATAATAAGGAGAGAAAAAGTAAGTTCTGATCTCTCGTTAGGGTCTATGTGGAAGATCTATTAAATCCTTCTTTTATTAGCAGAATGTTTGCTGAACTTGTTGAGCCAGTTCTTCTGCACTTAGTTGGCACTCAATTCCAATCTATCAAAAGAACAATAGAGAGAGATATAAATCTTGTCAATCAATATCATAACATTTCCTGTAAATTAAAATAGACTATTTTTTCTACTACCATTGTATAGATTCTTTATTGGAAGAATTTATGCATCTATCGCCTATCGGATGTAGAATCTAAGTCTTGCCCAATAAGCAAAAAACCAGCAAACGTCATCAGCTTGACTTATTTGTAAAAATGTCAAATATATTGAATTTTCAGATTTACATCTCTTCAATTCTCAAAAAGATAGAATAACGCCTTAAATTGTATATAAGATATCGGAACACACGTGTAATTCAAACCTTGGTTTAAATCAAAAAAGTGAACTGTATTATTAAGATTTTAAGAAAATGATACCAAACAAAATATTTTAAGAAAAATATAAAACAATGAACAAGCTAATTTCGTATGCTTGTGAGAAATCTGACATAGCATATGTTTGTGTGCATTCATCAATCTTATTAAATCAGAAACATTAGATTGGACCTAATATTTATTTTATAAATTTTTAAATTAAATACATCCTGCTATTTTATACTTAAACATATATTAAATCACTAATATTCATTTTTTATATAATACTATCCATATTTCCAAACAATATATATTTATTTCTTTATACTACTATCTATGTTTCCAAACAATATTCTCATTTTTTATACTAATATCCATATTTCCAAACAACACTATAACTGATATTATGTCCAAACAATACAAAATATTAGATCTCACCTTTTTAATAATTTCTCATAATTTTCTTTCAAATTATTTAGATAAATTAAAAAATCAAATAATATATAACACAACGAAAATACACTTATTTTCATATTTAAATATTACATATCAGTTATTCATCGGTTCAATCGGTTAGTTTTAGGTTTTAGTGATTTTTAAAATATGGATATTTTAAAAAATGAAAATTGAATTATCGGATCACAGGTTTTACCGCGGTTTGGGTTTAATTTAAAAATACCAATTTAAATGTAAAAATATTTTAAAAACATAAATTCTTTCAAATTACCAAAATATTTGTTAAAGTTATTTATAAAAATTTCCATCATAAAATATTCCGAGCTTGCAAAGTTAATACCAGAGTTAAGTTTGAATTTGATCTAACTTATAAAATAAAAGTTAAGGTCAAAAAATTTAGGAATTTGTATATTATTTTAAAATTTTGGATAATTATTAACATCAGAAATAACTAAACTCTCAACTTATTTTTTTTAACGCAAACAGTTAAGTTTGAATTTGATTTTGTACTTCGAACAGACATACAAAATTATTGTTTTCACTGAACGGTTACATCTACATAATTCACTACTAGATCTTATTAATACAAAAGACAGTTTTGATATTGTTCTTTAAACATAAAATCGAATTGGACAAACTCGAAACTATATAAAACTAAATTATATAGAATACATCCGATAAAATCTGCGCGGGTCATGATTTAGTGTATATATAAAATGTAGCTAGGAATTATGTATCTTATACACTGATTTTCTTATAATACATGTTATGGTATCTCTGTCTCCCCCCGCCCCAATATATGGCATTCATTTAAAACAAATCAACAAAATCTGTGAAAGTTAATGAGGAGATTATTCTGACGTACCTTGATGGTGAAAGAATTAAGCATGGTTTCGTCGACCCTGTTAATATTAATCTGAAGAATCTCAAGAGCCAAATCCTCAAGAGCAGCGATAATCTTCATAACCTGTCCAGGGACCTTATGCGATACCGTTTTTAGCAGCACGTTAGCTCCTGAGAACTTCACTTCAACGTCAGCCAAAGCCGACTTTGAGTTAGCAACGAGCTCATTTATCAAACTACTCTCATGGTTACTACTAACTGAAGGAGAGGAAGAAGATGAAGCTGGAGAGTATGGAGGCGGGTCCCCTAAGCTGCTGCCACTTACCAATGAGCTGTAAGAACGAAGAGGAAGCTGTGGGATCAGTGGTAGTTGCGTCGGATGGGCTCGGTATGGGCTTGTGGGCTGAGGGGTTCGAGGGCTTATGGGAGGGAGGAGGTGGTGGTGGATCTGAAAGTGGTTGATGCGCGGACTGAGAGGCGGTTTTCGCGGGCTTAGGACAGGCGGTGAAGGACGAGGGCTTGAGACTAGTCTCGGGCTTAGGACATCAGTGTAGGTCTTACGTTGTTTCTTGGCTTCTAAAGATTGAAGAACTTGTTGTAGCTCGCTTATGTATTCCACAACTCCTCCTATAATCGATGCTTGGTCCCCCTTTCATCATCATCAAAGGAAAAACAATAGAAATTGATTCCCTTAATAATAAGGACATTCTATCTATCACATTGTGACATGAAAGAAAAGAAATAGAGATGATTAGTGGGACCAAATGTCATTATAATTGTCATTATTCCTAAAAACATAGATATGGTGCTTTTGTCGTAAATGATGTTACTAAGAAATGATATATGATAGTTAGGTATACCAAAAAGATTAATTGAACAAATGTTGTAGAATATTTAATTAGTCAGGCACAACAATAACTCATATACCAAAGTACTGGCTAAGAAAATGTATGGATGCATTGAAAATGTACCCGTTTGACGTAGAAACAAGGCATAAGAGACCGTAGAACCGTCAAGTGCTCATTCATTTGCTTTCTCCTGTTACGTTCCACGGTTACATGAGACATCTTTTGTTCCCCATCTTGCTTATTATCTTCTTCACCTTCCCCCTCCCCTTCCCCTTCCCCTTCCCCTTCCCCTTCTCCGTCTTCTTCTTCTTCCTCGTCTTTGTTGGTTTCTAGTCTTTTCCTCTTATTCTTCTTAGGAGATGAAGAATCATGGATTTGATCCTTTACTAACTCGTTTGAACTTGTGATTCCCTGTCTACGTGTAGATGCAACCGTGTATGATATTTCTCCGGCGCCTTCTAGACTCTCTAAGATAGCAAATAGATCATCTCCGGCTAGTGAAGTGTCAACGAATTCACACTCTTCAAGAAAATCCGATATTATCTCTTGCATCGTGACTACAGATTACTCTCTCTCTCTTCTTAGTTCGTTGTTTTGTCTTATGGTTGGATACAAAAATAGTAAAATAAAAATAAAGATTTAGAGAAAGAAAGAGACGCAGGGAGCCATCAAGTTGAGAGAGAGAGAGAGAGAGAGAGAGGGAGGGAGAGCGAGAGAGAGAGAGGGAGGGAGAGCGAGAGAGAGAGAGGACTAAACTATAGCTATCAAATTTCAATATATTAAAAAATTTTGATAGGGTTATTTATTATGGGGATTGTGCCGTTGGATGAAATTTGGGGAGGATCTAGGTTTTTTGGGTGTGTCATTTATTTTTTATATATAACTATAGGGAACGTTTTATTGTATACTGTCAAAAGAGAAATAAGGTTGTATATATGCAAAGGGAAATATTCATAAATTCCTTAGGAAAAGATTTTTATGGATATTTTTTTGGGTAAAGTTTTGAATAGTGACAAGCTCGGTATAATTGTTGTTTTGTACACACAAACATGTAATGTACGCAAACACGGCCATGCACGTGCATATGTATGTAATCTACGTATATATATATATGGGTTGCAAATGGTCCGACCAATCCCGGTTTTCGGGTAAACATATACAAGAAAGAAAGAAAAGGTATTTGAAATTTACTGCGTTCACATTTATTTTAGCGCCCTCGCTCGTGAGACAATCAATTGAATGATATGTTGTACAGTCGCATATTTTCTGTTAAGTATGTTGTACAGTCGCATTATTAACAAAACAAACCTATAAAGTTTAGACATTTTTTTTGCAATTTCAAGCATATCGAATTCTAGCAAAAGCCTTCGCTAGTTTTAGCCATCATATTATAAATTATGTACTCAAGTTAAGTTTTGGCAACTTATTTTTCTTTTATACTTTTGGTGATTCTGCGTATGCCCTTTTTAAAATTATTTCCTTATATTCTACTTCAATATTTTAAAACCTTTTAATTCGCACTAAATTTTTTTATGCTTTACCTTCGACACTTTCGTATTTATTTATTTTACATATCTCCACTCAAATTCATTCTTTTAATTCCTAACTATTTCCTTACTTTCAGTTCACCTGTTCTATTCCCATTCGGTTTCTTAGGTGTTGTTTCTTTTTATCTTACTCAGAATTAGTTTTTTTTTTTCTTGAAACACCAAACTCGGAATTAGTTTGATTTCACTATTTTTACTATCAAGTTTTGAAAACCCAACCCGCTTATATAAGCGTTATTTCGGTTCAAATGGACCCTTATCATGTTTTATAAAGACGTAATCAGATGGGTATACCAATTCAATTTCTTTTGGAAAAAATCCCAAAATAAAATATGAGTTTAAGAATAAATTTAGTGTTAAACAAAATGAAACCCAATATAGATTTATGATCTGTAAGTTGATCTTTGAATTGATACAAGGAGAACATCGTTTTCTTTCAAGAAAATAAAAGACAAGGGATAGATCTAAGGCAATAAATACTTGATGTCATACTAGTCGTACCTCAATTTGTCTCTTCAAAATCAAATTGATTCTTGAGGAGCCACCCTTTACTTGAACTTTCCCTTTCAAAAAGTTTTGAAATGTTTTGTACATTAATATCTATGTAGGTTATCCGTATATACGATATATAAATGACAATAATCTAATAAACTGTTATACTAGAAAATAAACAAAAAATTAAGATGGAGCCAAGACAAAACCAGGTAGACGTTAGGTTTGAAGTTAATGTGTTGGCTGTCAGACATGTCTTTTTAGTAACGGGTCTCTTCACTTATATACACATATTTAATACATACATACACATATATGTACGTATTTTTTAGAACTCTAATGGATAGAACTTCCATTGAAAATTGAAAGTGTTCTTAGTTATGTTTTGTTTCTAACCCACATTAATAGAGATCAATTAAGAAAAATCATGTGTGTTTTTTTCAATGCAAAACGCATGCTGATATATATATATATATATATATATATATATATATATATATATATATATATATATATTGAATTTCGATAAGTCCCAAATGTTTAGTTTTCATGAGTTCCACACTGGTTAAACTTTAGGCAACTAAAGTTTTATCATGCATGCATGTATGATATTAATTTGAGATATGACTCGGATCCAAGATGTTATTCAATATACCCTATGGGGAGACTATGACATGATTTTAATTACATTCGTATAGTTTTGTCTTTCTCTATTTATTTCTTAAATCCAAATCGATAATTCCATAACACCGTTTCTCTTGCCATCACTATGACAAGAAAAATGACGATTGAGGTAAATTTATTTCAGTTTCTTATGATATAGCGAAACTTTGACTATATTCTCCGGTAGTCTCAATTAAGAAGTCATGAGTTGGTGTCGACAATTACAAATTAAAAAAAAACAAATAAAACTCAAGAGACTAAAAGAATATATCGATAGGTGAAATTTATTGCCCTTTTATAAACAATATTTAATTAGCTTTTGCAGCAATTAATCAGAAATTGAGTGAGAAATAGAGTTAGTTCATGAAACAAAGCATCTGCAAGTTGAGCAGAGATCAGTACTTTGGAATCGAATATAAAAAAAGATGGTGGGCGGCTTTCAAAATCGGACACGCCATCTCCGTGCCTGAGATTCTACTTCTTCAAGCACATTTATCATCATACATGTTTCATATTATATTTTACATACACTTTTTTTTTGAGAAAAAATATTTACATATTTGCAAATACAACATGAATTATAGAGAAATTCTCTAGAATAGTTCGTTTTTAGTTTATTTTCATAAAAATAGTCTTTAAAAATAAAATGATCATAATAAAATTTTATTAAGAGGTAAATATTGATTTATACTCTTTCGTTAACTAATCTAAATTTAGAATTTAGAGTTAATGGGTGAGTTTTTTGGGTTTAGAGTTTCAAATTTAAAAAAAATAAAAATACTATTTTGGTCAGTTTTTTTTTAGAGGGCAATTTTGTGATAAAAGGTTTAAAAAAACTATTTGAAAGAACTGTCCTAAATTATATAGTATTAATAAACTAACAATAAATTAATATTCGATATATTAACAAATAGAATACAATAATAATAATTGTTTGTCTCAAGTTAGCTGATTTGTGAATACCACATAAGTTAATAAATGAAAATAAATTTAGTAATGCATAGGTAAGTATATAGTTTTAATAAACTATAAATTAATAAATACAGTATATTAAAAACATATGAACATGTATTTCTCAAAAAAAAATTATTTTTTTCTGAATACTTAACATATTTTGGTGTTATTTGGTCGAATTAGATTTAAAACTCATATTCTAAATATATAACTTGTTAAACGTAAATAGTCTAATAAAATTATAGAAAATTGTGAATAAAATTTGAAATTTTATTATATAATAACTTTATGTTTGATATTTTTTACAAGTATTCACTGAAACATAGTTCTTTTTAAAATAATTTCTGTAATTAATAAAATTTTATAATTTTGACGTGCATTTTACTGCACTTTTAAAAAAATATGTTTTAAATGATCTATTTGCAGAGTTGGATCTTGTAGTGGTTTTCCATTATAGATTGTCTATTGGAAACAAGACAATTTTCACTGTTGAAAACCATCGATAACCATAATGATTACTAATATTGATATTTGTTTTCGGATTTTTTTTGTAAATGTTTGACAAATTTCTGAAGATCAAAATAATCACTAATATTGGTCAATTATCGTTTAATTATGTCAGAGATTCTTGAAATAGTTTTACGCTTGAATTCAATATAAGTAGTGATGGAATATCATTGGATTTCTGCTGGAAATTTCTGGGACAGTTATTTTGATATTTGTTTTCGTCCTAAATATTTGAAGGAAATCCGAGAATATGTTTTTATTTGAATATTTTCTGATGCAAAAGAAATTGGCAAAAACTTTTTACGCATCCAACTCATTTTCTTTAATTTAATATTTAAAATATGAGAAATATGGGATGGATTTTAGAATGATACTCTGAAATTTTTATAAAGAATATGAATTAATGCATGTTGGGACGAAACTAATATTAGATGTTGTGGTTCGTGTCTGAGCGATTAGGGTTTCGGAAAGAACCTCCTGATAATTTAAAGAAAACTTAATAATATTTTAGGACTAAATAGATAATTTATAGTTCCATCTTTTTATATATCTGTGCCTGGTGGAATCATGAGGCGCCTAAATATATATTACCTACCTCTTAAGTTACGAGAAAACAACCACAATTCGCTCCACATGTTTAAAATAAATTCCAGGATAGAGTCTTTGGCATGCAGTCTCCTAGATATATCCATGACTACAATTTAAAAATATTTGTGACATCATATATTATTTGTAACTGTAGCCCCAGACTCAAATTAAGATCTCGCACCACTCAAATAACACTCTTCTTGTCGAAGTAATCACATTTAGGTTAAACTAACGCACAATGCATTATTTAGCTTCGTCATTATAGAAAAGTGCGTATTCGAGATTGCATGTGTGTATCTGAACGACTCACGTAGTTGTGACTGTTAGGTGCTGTTCGTTTGCTCACCCAGGTAATCCATCTGGGTGAAGATGCAAATCAATGTTCGTTTTGTACATTAAAATGCTACATCTAGAAGGATCATCCAACTGATTTTTTAAAAACTCATCTCAAGTTCTCACCCAAATGAGGGTGAGTCTTGATGGTGCATCTGGATGCAAATGCATCTAGTTCAGTCCAAAATCATAAATGACAAAAATTACCTTTTAAAATAAATATAATTTTTCAAACCATAAATACTTAATTTTTTTGCAAATATATCTTTCCGCAAAAACCAAAAAATATTTTTCGCTGAAATCGTAAAAACTGAAAAATGTATTTTCCACCAAAATCGTAAAAATACATTTTCTCGCCAAAACCGCAAAAATACATATTCCCGCCAATAATGCATTTTGCTACCAAAACCACAAAAACGCATTTTCACGCCAAAACCGTAAAAATGTGTGTTTCCCGCTAAAACCGTTAAAACACA